GGGTTGTGATCCGTTGCTGGACACGGAAAAAGACAAAAGACAAAAAAAAAAAAAAAAAGAATGGACCAAATCATAAATATGGACCTTATAGGAATACTCAAATCAGAAACATAATATCCATCAAGAATGCTCCTCTTGCTCCTATCCTATGCAATCAGTGCTAAAGAACCATTTCCCTAAATCGATCTTCAATCTGTCTAATCTTTACTCCACAGTCTCATTCCAGCACATGACCAAATTACTCAGGCCTCCAAAACAGTCTCCTAACTAGTTTCACCATTTTTACTCATGCAATCTTCTGATTCACGCTCTACAGAACACTACAGGCATTTCAGTTCAATCCAATCATGGCCCTACCTTGTTTAAATCCCTTCAATGACTGCCCAGTGTCAAGAAAAAAATCCAAACTCCTGGACTTGGTGAGAAGGTCCTGCATGATGCAGCTCTCTGTTCAGGTCTTCAAGGGCACCCAGATCATTATGCAGGCACCCTGCATAAATGTATGGGTTCTCAATTTCTTCAACGTATGGCTCCTTCTACTTGATATGACATTCTCACCACTCTGGTTCGGACTACTGATCCTTCCAGCCTCGTCTTATTTGGCACAATCTGGAAAGTCTTTCCAGTCTTGTAATGTCACCCCTCTTATTCTCTCATAGCAGTGCCTCACCTGTAACCATCTCCCCTAGAAAGATATCCACTTCTCCAGACATAGCACAGGCCAGGTATCTAATGAGAAAATCTGCAGAGTTCTCGATGATTAGGGATTTAAGTTAGGCCTTAAGTTGTCTGCAGGCTACTGGTAAGAATAGCTCTTTCTAGTCTCAGGACTGCCTATCCAGATTCAAGGAAAGGCCCACAGAGAAACTGAGCCTCAAAACATGATCACACTGAGCCCCTTCTTTCTCACCAGATATACCATTCTCAGGAGGAGCCTGTTACTAAGACAGTCTCTCATTTTCCCCTAAAAGGTCAATTAAGACTAACTCCAGGGCCGGCCCGGTGGCGCACTGCTACAGTGTGCCGCTTGGGAGCGCGGCGGTGCTCCCGCCGAGGTTTCGATCCCACATACAGACCGGTTCCCGCTCACTGGCTGAGCGAGGTGCGGGCGCAGCGCCGAGGGTTGCGATCCCGTTGCCAGTCCCGGTCCGGTACGGGCGCGACACTGAGGGTTGCGATCCATTGCCGGACACGAAAAAAGACAAGAAAAAAAGACTAACTCCAGAAGGCCTAGCATCCTTCCTGACACTAGCTCCTTCCCAGATTATTCGCCATCCCCTCTTATATTTCCTTCCAATGTGTTTCAGCTTTCTTTACATACAGTTGAAACAGCACTGAATCTAAAAGTCTGTGTCTGGCTTTACTTCACTAAACATTATAGCAGTTTCAAAAACGTTTTTTATTTATTTTTGTTTATTTATTGAATCAAAATTGATTATACACATTTTGGGGGTTGAACACTGAGATATGTTGATCAAATCAATATTACTAGCATACATATTGTTACAAATTGTAATTATTCTTTATGCCCCTTGTCCAATCCCTCCCCATCCCCTTCTCCCTTCCCCTCCCCCCTCTAATTACCCTAGATTTCATCTCTCTTTCTGAAAGAATAATGGTTACTCTGTTAATCTCTTGCCTAGATGATCTGTCCAATGCTGAGAGATGTGATCAGGTCCCCCAATATTATCATAGAGCAGGTGCTTCTTCTGTCACTCTGAAATGGGTTTTGTGGAAAGAAACATCCTTTTCTTTCCTTTGTCTCTGCTGGTGACTCTTCTTGTATGAACGCACTTCAGTCGTTGGAGGACCATCTGCGTGGTGGTTGTGGTGTCTAGCCGCTTTTGCAGCAGCCATGGTTATTGTGGTGGCTGTGGTGGGCCACCCACATGGAGGTGCTGATTTTGGTATGCTCCTTGGCACTGGCAGTATGCCTGGTTGTGGGGTGCTTGGTCCCCTTCTCCATGCCTCTGGTCCCTGGGCAGGCCCCAAGGTGCTGGTGCCATGTGCCTGGTTGTGGGAGGAGGGTCCAGTCCCCTTCTCCATGCCTCAGGTACCCAGGTGTGCCCCGAGTTGCTGGCGTTTTGTGCCTGGTGTGGGAGGAGGATCCAGTCCCTGGCTCCATACCTCAGGTCACTGGGTGGGACCCAAGGCGCTGGCTTGGTCAGGCGCTGGTTATGGGAGAGCGGTCCAGACCCCTTTTCGATGTCTCAGGTCCCTGGGCAGGGCCTAAGGCACTGGCATGGCATGCCTGGTTGTGGAAGAGAGATCTGGTCCCCTTCTCCATGCCCTGGGTTCCAAGGTGGGCTCCAAGGTGCTGGCAGGCTGTGCCTGGTTGTGAGAGGGTGGTCCGGTGCCCCACTCCATACCCTTGGTCCCTGGGTGGGCCCCAAGGCACTGGTTCAGTGTGCCCTGGTTATGGGAGGGTGGTCCGGGCCCTTTCTTCATGCCCTGGGTCCCTGGGCAGGCCCCGAGGTGCTGGTGTGCTGTGCCTGGAAGTGCGAGTGGGGTCTGGTCCCCGGATCCAAGCCTCCAGTTCCCAGGCAGGCCCCAAGGTACTGGTGGTATGCCTGGGCCAGAACTAATTTTTTGTCCTTTGCTGCTAACATGGGGGAACTTCCTGTGGGGACCAATACTTGAGCTGTATGGTTGTTTAAATTGCTACTTTGCTGCTGCTTCCCTACGGAAGGCTTTTTGTGCAGTCAGGGTTTAATGGTTGATCTTATAGGTACTTCCCACTCTCCAGAGACCTGGTGGATATGTGTTCTGTAGAATCTCTGATCTGGGCCTGAGTTTTTTTCATCAAACTGCACCCCATGCAATTTTGCATTCCTGACGAGTCTCCTCTGAGTGGTCCTGCGCTGATTGGGGGGCAGGTTGGCTGTCCTTGCTGTGTCTCAGTATTCCCCTGGTGGGCCTGTCTCCCCCACTGCCGTGCTCCAAACACTTCCCATGGGATGGGCCCTGTGCTGGTCCCTTGCGATGACTTACCAGCCTCTGAATGGCTCCCGTTTTTCAGTTCTTCTGGCTCCTCGCTCCTGTGTGGGTCCATGGGAAACCTATTATTGGTCTTGCTGTCCTGTGGGCCACCAAGGCCCTCTTCTCTCCTGCCCGCTCCAAGCAACTCCATCTGAAGGGCACAGCTGTGGCTTCTGCCAGCTCCTGCCGGCTCCTGCTCCATGCACTCAGCAGCTCCAGCCTTAAAGCAGCCATGGCCCGAAATGCTCAGAGCAGCTTTTCCTTTCTCTCATCGTAGTTTCTCCTGCCTTCATGAACTCCGTAGGTCTCTCCTCTTCTTCCCCTCAGCTCCAGCGGCCCCAGCTTAGCTGATGTTAGATTTTTATAGTTGTAAATTTGGTTGATTTGCGGGAGAGAGTGACACTGGGGACCATCTATTCCACCATCTTGATTAGATCCTCTCAAAAACATTTTATAAAAAAATATTTTAAAAGATGAGAGTTCTGTATCCTAATTGCGCTTGTTCAGAATATGCAAAACTATGTGGACAGAAAGTAGAGCAGCAGTTGCTTAGGACTGAGCATGGGAAGTGACTGCTAGTGGGAAGAGTTTCATTTTGAGGTGATGAAACAAGCGCAATTAGGATACAGAACTCTCATCTTTTAAAATATTTTTTTATAAAATGTTTTTGAGAGGATCTAATCAAGATGGTGGAATAGATGGTCCCCAGTGGTTCAGAATATGCAAAACTATGTGGACAGAAAGTAGAGCAGCAGTTGCTTAGGACTGAGCATGGGAAGTGACTGCTAGTGGGAAGAGTTTCATTTTGAGGTGATGAAACAAGCGCAATTAGGATACAGAACTCTCATCTTTTAAAATATTTTTTTATAAAATGTTTTTGAGAGGATCTAATCAAGATGGTGGAATAGATGGTCCCCAGTGGTTCAGAATATGCAAAACTATGTGGACAGAAAGTAGAGCAGCAGTTGCTTAGGACTGAGCATGGGAAGTGACTGCTAGTGGGAAGAGTTTCATTTTGAGGTGATGAAACAAGCGCAATTAGGATACAGAACTCTCATCTTTTAAAATATTTTTTTATAAAATGTTTTTGAGAGGATCTAATCAAGATGGTGGAATAGATGGTCCCCAGTGGTTCAGAATATGCAAAACTATGTGGACAGAAAGTAGAGCAGCAGTTGCTTAGGACTGAGCATGGGAAGTGACTGCTAGTGGGAAGAGTTTCATTTTGAGGTGATGAAACAAGCGCAATTAGGATACAGAACTCTCATCTTTTAAAATATTTTTTTATAAAATGTTTTTGAGAGGATCTAATCAAGATGGTGGAATAGATGGTCCCCAGTGGTTCAGAATATGCAAAACTATGTGGACAGAAAGTAGAGCAGCAGTTGCTTAGGACTGAGCATGGGAAGTGACTGCTAGTGGGAAGAGTTTCATTTTGAGGTGATGAAACAAGCGCAATTAGGATACAGAACTCTCATCTTTTAAAATATTTTTTTATAAAATGTTTTTGAGAGGATCTAATCAAGATGGTGGAATAGATGGTCCCCAGTGGTTCAGAATATGCAAAACTATGTGGACAGAAAGTAGAGCAGCAGTTGCTTAGGACTGAGCATGGGAAGTGACTGCTAGTGGGAAGAGTTTCATTTTGAGGTGATGAAACAAGCGCAATTAGGATACAGAACTCTCATCTTTTAAAATATTTTTTTATAAAATGTTTTTGAGAGGATCTAATCAAGATGGTGGAATAGATGGTCCCCAGTGGTTCAGAATATGCAAAACTATGTGGACAGAAAGTAGAGCAGCAGTTGCTTAGGACTGAGCATGGGAAGTGACTGCTAGTGGGAAGAGTTTCATTTTGAGGTGATGAAACAAGCGCAATTAGGATACAGAACTCTCATCTTTTAAAATATTTTTTTATAAAATGTTTTTGAGAGGATCTAATCAAGATGGTGGAATAGATGGTCCCCAGTGGACATAAACCACAGGATATGTCAATAGATGCAGAAAAAGCAACTGACAAAAGTATTCTAAAATCCTTTCATAGCAAAAATATCCAACAATCTAAGAATAGAAGGGAACCTGTATACAAATATTCATAACAGTATGATGGAGTTTGGATGTGTTGTCCCCTCCAAAACTCATGTGGAAATTTGATCTCCAATGTGGCAGTGTTGGAAACTGATTGAGTCATGGGGGTGGATCCCTCATGAATGGATTAATGCTCTCCCTGGGGGAGGGAGGAGTAATGAGTGAGTTCTCGCTCTCTTAGTTCCCACGAGAGCTTGTTGCTTAAAAAGACCCTGGCACCTTCTCTCTCTCTCTCTTGCTTCCTCTCTCCATGTGATCTGCTTGTACCTGCCACCTGCCTGATGCTTTCCGCCATGAGTAGAAGCAGCCTGAGGCCAGTGCCAGATGCAGCTGTCCCAGAATTGTAAGCCAAATAAACCTCTTTTCCTTATATATTACCCAGTCTCAGGTATTTCTGTTATAGCAACACAAAACAGACTAAAACACAGTATTATTTTTAATAGACTAAAAGTAGAACCAGCAAGCTGCCAAAAAAGAAAAATAAAAATAAAACAAAATAAAAGTAGCTACAACTCAAATGTTCACATTTATGAATGGATAAATAAAATGTGATATATCTATACCATGGAATACTATTTGGCAATATAAAAGGATGAGGTCGTGGTACATGCTACGATATAGATGAACCTTGAAAACATTCTGCTAAGTGAAAGAAGCCAGTCATTAAACACTAAACAGTGTGTGGTATCATTAGTATAAGATGTTCAGAATATGCAAAACTATGTGGACAGAAAGTAGATCAGCAGTTGCTTAGGACTGAGTATGGGAAGTGACTGCTAGTGGGAAGAGTTTCATTTTGAGGTGATGAAAATGTTCTACAATTGGACTGTTGTGATGGTTCCACAACTCTGTGAAAATACGAAAAGCCACTGAACTGTACACTTTAAATGGATGAATTTTATGTGTGAATTATATATCGAAAAAGCTGTTTTTAAAAGTCGGGACAAAACTGAACCCAAAGTACAGGTAAAATGGCTGTAACAGGGGGAAAGAGGAGGGCACTTCCTCTCTGAAGTGAGAGGGCAGTATGATAGAAGGGGAGCAAGAGAGTGGTAAGAGGAGTAAGAAACATCCTTACTTTCTTCCCCAGATCTCAGGCCTTTTTAGGGAGCTTTCCTACCAACATCTCAGAAGTGTTTCTTCTCAAAGGCCAGCTGGGTGACTACCTATCATGGTTTCCCCAATATGATTCATCACTCACCTGGACACCAGTCTTTTGTCTCCTTCCTCTTAACCATCCAGGGATCTTTCCCCTGCTCCAATAATGAGATGACACATGGCTTACTATCAGAAAGTCCTGCTCAAGGAACAAAAGGGACAAGGTTATGTTGTGGGTTTTAGAATTAAAATCAGTATATGATTATCAAAAGCAAGTAGATTAAGGGTCAGAAGAAGGAGTGAAGGTCAGAGGAACGGGAAAGGTAAGATGCCTAATGGAGCAGCCCATTTCCAACTTCACAAGGGACAAACCATTCTTTGGTAAGCAAGAATCATTACAGGTTGAGAGCATCCCTAATCTGAAAATCCAAAAGGCTCTAAAATCCAAAACCTTTTGAGTGTTGACATGACACTCACAGGTCATGCTCAAAGAAAATAATCATGTGAGCATTTTGGATTTCCAGATTAGGGATGCTCAATCAGTATGTATATGCAAATATTCCAAAATTTGAAAATATCTGAAGTCTGAAACACTTCTGATCCCATGCATTTCGGATAGTGGATCCTCAACCTGTAATTCAGCCAGGTGCTTGAAAAGCCTTCAGAAAAAATTCACATCAAAGAACATAAAAATTCCAGAAGGCCAATTCGTAATTTTGGAGGGTAGACAAACTTACCCAGTGAGATCAAGTTGTTGTAATTCTCCAACATTACATCTCTGTACAAATCCTTCTGAGCAGAGTGCAAACATTCCCACTCCTTTTGAGAGAAGTAAATGACCACATCTTTGAACTGAAAGCCCTGAAACCACAAACAAATATACTATTTGTGAAATAAATGAACAAAAATCTTTAAGACAAAAGAAAATAGAGAAAGCAATTCAGTAGGGGAGCTCCATTGTGAAAACAGCCTGTGCTGGACCCTTCAACATGGATGGGTCAGTGTGGAAACAAGGGTGATCAGTCAAGTAACCTCTGGGCATTTCCAGTATTCACTCACATCTCAGAGTATAAACAAAGCCCAGACAAATGGTATTTCCCAATTAAATGAAACTGCATACGCAAGTAATATACAGAGCACCCTACGTTCGGCACACAACACTTCTCATTGCCTCCTCCCCATTCAGGAAAATTTTTTAAAAATCTGAAACATTTAAAAATATCTCAAAAAATCTATATCTCTGAAAATAGGATTTGAATATAATTTATGTAATTTAATAATTTCTTAAAAACTCAGGCTCAAAAAAACCCCCCAACAAAACCCCAGGTTCATAAGTACGCCAGAAAATTAAATCCTAATCACCTTTTCAGGTCACCACAAATTCTTAAATAGACATCATTTTTAATGGCTGTATAACATCCCATTTTATGTATTCAATGTTCTTATTTTGGGGCAGTAGGTTGGAGAAGTTCTCTAAGGTTCTTTTGTATGTAGTTCAGAGAGTCATTATTTCTCAATAATTTACACATCTGGCTAAATTGTTCCTGTTACCAGAAATTGTCCCTAACTATACTCTCCTTGTTCCCGAGCTACAAGAACTGTAGAAAAACCCAGACTCACAACAATGTGACCCAAGGAGAGCACACATTATACATGTTCAAAAGGGACCTACTTACTGGTATCCATCTGGCAAGACTCTTTGGGAATATCCCATAACTCCATACAGTCAATCTATAATATCACCAGTCCTAAAAACCTCAGAAAGCTTGAGATATTAGCACATACTAAGACTGCAACAAATCAACATCAATTCCCTTCTTGTCTTACAAACCTAAGTTTGCAATATGTGATCACACTTAACCACGTACTTCCACTTCATCAAATCACAGCTCTAAGAAGGGAGGTATAAAATTTCCACCAAGGGTCGGTTTTCTCACTCCATCGGTATTCTTGGCTGTAGGATATGCTCTTAAGCAATGCTAAGTGTTTGCTGATGAATACCTAAAAATTCGCTGGAGAACAAAGGGACACTTAAGGGATGGCAGCCTTTGGTAGCATCGCTGACTGGAATGGGAAGATCTGGGGAAGAAGTTCCTAAGGGGTGCAGAGAGGCAGAAAGTTTCAGGAAAAAAGAAATCTGTTCAAATATTCCAAAATAAGAAGAATGCATTTAATGAAGCAGATGAGAGATACTAACTCATGTAGATAATGGCTTTTAGTATTAAAAAATTTCTATCCTGGTTTTGTCCTAGAGAAAACAAAAGAGGAAGAAAAACCGGCCCAGAGTCACCACACTGACCTCTGAGTCCCCAAAAGACTTGAGAATGAATTCCTCCTACCCTCCCATTACTGCTTCACACACACTAGGTCTGTTTCTCTAAGAGATTTGAGGGAGAATGAACAAACTTTTGCCTCCTTGAACCCCAGGGAATTGAAACATAGCATAATGGATGTAGAAGAAACAACTTCCCCACTGTCAGGAGCTGATCTGAGCCCAGAGGGCCCACTCTGACGGGTCCTGGGAAGACCTTTTTTCTACCACCTGGAAGACACTGAGCCCCTCAATAATTGAAGCATTTCAAAAACCTGACAGGGCCCTCGGGACCATAAGCACAGGACATCTGAGCAGGCCGAGCACTGGAGAAAGGTTTCTGCAACAGAGGCCTCTAGGAATTCCTCCCCAGGAACTGACTCTATCAGCTACCTCCCTATCTTTGTTCCCATATCCCAGAACTGGGTTCCTCAGAACTGAAACCAAAACTTCTTTCCACAAAGGCCCTGTCCAGAACCACCAATACTGAGCCAGACAACCCCACCAGGATCAGCAGGTCCTGAGCAGCCTCAGCAGAACTCAACTACCTGGATGCATGTTGCAGTGGCTTTACGTGAAATCACAGCTCACAGAATCCCTGCATATCCTGGTTCCAAACCAAGATCGTCCAAGGCTTTTCTGCCTTACATTCCCTCTTGCTACTACCCCCAGCCTTACTGCTGATAGTGCAGTATTCACTGCATCTCAACTACAATTATTGTGCTTCAAGCATTGTAAGTTCCTGGTGACTTACATGTATTAATCCTCACGAAAAGCCCATGAATCCTAATTCAAAGGAAACTTTAGCTTGGAGAATTGAAGTCATTTACTCAAATTTGCAGTTAGTTAGCAGTGGCACTGCTGGGTTCTGCATTTAGATTTCTCCAAGTGTGCAGCTGGTTGTCTTCTACTTCTGGCTCTTGCTGATGAAGCCAGGCATTCCCTGATCCTTTGAATGAAACCTCAGCTGGGCCCTGCACTTAGGGAAGCAGAATATGTTTGGTCTGCTCTGTGTCACTGCAGAGCACTAGCACTCTATAAGGGGAAATCAAAGGCAGAGGAAACAGGAAGAGAGAAGAAGCTATGCCAAAAAAGTTCTTTTACCCAAAATACCAATCAAAATTCCCCTTGACTCTGATTCTGTGTGTGCACTGGGAACAGATAATTCTGATCTGTATCTTCCGTAAAGAGCTTAGAGTAAGGGAGACAAAAAATAGAGACAATCACAGGACATCAGGCTTTGTGGGAGACTGGATACCATGACCAAATCACCAGCTGAAAAATAATGGACTGAATATTGAAAATATTTTGGAACACAATGATGAGCTGACAAAAAAGGAAAGGAGTCTTCAGAGACTATAAAACTAAGTTAAAATGGGAATTGAGAGGGATATGCCAAGCCACTGAAGTTTATTTTGGACAGAGAATGTCTGCTGAGCTAAGATGCCCATGAACTTTGACATTCAGGATCTTAAGGAGCAGGGTGAGAGGAGACCAAGTCTACAGCTGGCCAAGATGGGAGTCTATGTGGTTCTACACTGCACAGACCTGGGACCCCTGGGACCACACCCCCAGAGTAAGGGGAAACTAGAAGTAGCACTCCCATTCTTGTGGGCCACAAGTAAAATTGCTTGATTTGAACTTTGGCAGCTGGTGGAAGGGAAACATTTTCTCCTGAGGAAATGTAATCAAAAACCAGCCCTCACACAGGTCTTCAGCTCACATTTACACTACTGGGTGGATCTAAAAAACATGCCATCTATGAATTTACTTTAAGAAGGTTCTTTCTGGTTTGGCAGTGATCCTGGTAGAAGCAAACACAGATCTGCCCTAGAGGAACAGCCTCAACCAAGCCTCAAGAATCCATGGGTAGAATTCCAAGGAAAATGATCTAAGAGTCAAAAATTAAATAGCACTAAATACCACTGAACTTTAAAATGATTGACTGTATATAGTGTGAATTTTGCCTAAATAAAACTTTGATTTAATTTAAAAAATTAAAATGAAACAGGCAAAGAGGCATAGTTCCATGAACAAAGAGTCAGGAAAATCAGTCATGCAATTGTTTCAACTTTTCATTATATTTGAAAATTTCCATAATAAAATGTTGGTGTGGGGGTGAGAAATCATAGATAATGCCAAAGAATATGAAACAGGCATATTACATGTTTTCTAAAAAGAGGTAAGGTAGTACAAAACAAAACTTCACAAAAATGACAGGTAGATTAAAAGAAAAAAAATCAATATTTGTAGAACAAAAACCATAATATTTGAATCATACAATGGCTGGAATAAATATCTCTAAAGATACAAATTATTGGACTGAAAAATGTACAAAAAAGAGATTAGGATTAAGAAGAACGCTATCAAGAACAACTACCTAGAATTCTAGAAGGAAAAAGGAGAAAGAATTGAGAAAAAGGCAGTATTCGAAGACATAAAAGCTAAGAAATTTTCAGAACTGGAAAAAGCATTATTCAGATTCAGGAAGCCCGATAAGTGACAGAATAAATAAAAAGAAATCCATACCTAGAAAAAACCATGCCCAAACTGCAGAGCACTAAATACAGCGAGAATATGATAAAAGCCATTTGGGATTAAAGACAGATTCTCTACAAAAGAACAACAGTCTGACTGACAGATGATAATTCAATAATAACAATGAAAATCAGAAGACAATAGAATACCTCTGTGCTGAGAGAAAATTATCTTTCACAAATGAGGGCAAATAAAGACATTTTCAAGAAACCAAAAACAGAGAAAAATTCACTGAAGTATGTACTTCCATCTAAAGGAAAATGATCACAGATGAAGGATTTGAGATATAAAAAAGAATGGCAAAGTGGTAATTACATGGATAATCTAAGTTAACATTCAATGTATAAAAACAATAAAAATGTCTTATGGGTTAAAAAAAATAATGGAAGGAAATTACCTGACAACAATGTAAGTAAGTTGTTTGATCAGTTAGAATATCCTAGAGTTCCTTGACCTATTCAGCAAGAGCATAAAGATATTCTTCAGTCTTGACATTGCTAAATCAATAAAGTGTGTTAGGGCCGAGCCCGTGGCACACTCAGGAGAGTGTGGTGCTGGGAGTGCAGCAGTGCTCCCGCCGCGGGTTCGGATCCTATATAAGGATGACCGGTGCGCTCACAGCGCTCACTGGCTGAGCGCGGTGCGGCCGGTCTCAAAAAGGACAAAAAAATAAATAAAAATAAAAATAAAAAATAAAATAAAGTGTGTTAAAACTTCTAAGGTAACCACTAAATAAATACAAATATTTATAACTTTCAAACTCACAGAGAGTAAAATGAAATGAGACAATAAAGTATAAAAAAGGTAGACTAAAAGGCACAAAAATGGTATTTTCAATTATATCAATAATTAAACCACTGTAAATAAATACTCTCATTAAAAGACAAAGTTGGTCAAAGTTTTCAAAACCAAGCCCTGCTATATGCTATTTACAAGAGACACATCTGAAACACAAATATTCAGAGAGACTAGAAGTAAAAGTTAAAAAAGATAACTTGTATGCATACCTAAT